GTATTCCCCCAGTCCGGCTCGCCGAGGTGTAGGTTTGCGTCCTTGCGGGTCGGACCAGGTGCTCTCTAGAGGTTCCTTCCAAGCTTCACAACTCTGGGATTTCTCGCTCGGTTTAAAACACGGGTGTGGTTTGTTTTGCGGCTTCTTGTTACAAGTCGACCCATGTGACCAGATTTTTTTTAAAGGCTGCAAGAGGGGTGTCTGTGTGTCTATGTGTGTGGCTGTGTGTCTTGGTTATTAGGACAGTCACACCTTATGCTAACAACGACAGAATTTATGCTGAGAGCACACAAGCAGGGCAGTTATAGAAAATTACATATTTGCCTGAATTTATTGGCATAAAAGACAACAGCTGCTCAGCTGTTAAGGCAGAACATCCATGTGATGTGAGTGTTCTTTGGCATCTGAGGCTGCAGGATGTTGTTTCTGTGCTCTTTGGAAATAAGAGGTTAGAGCAGTTGGTCTTGCCTTCTCTTGGCTTTGGACTTTCTTATGCAGAATCTAGCTGCATAAGAAAATTCTACTTATTGCAAAGACATACAGCTGAAAGGGGAAAGGCTTGCCTTGATTGTTAACAATAACTTACTGTATAATTCAAATATGGAGGGATTATATCTTCCATATGGCATTTACAGTGGAAATCAAGCGTGTGAATGATAGATTTTCTTCCCCAAATGATTATTTCGACTTCTCAGATTAGCACAAAGTAACAGAAGACCAGCTGGTGTTGACACAGGATGTGTTGTAAGTGAATCAGAGCTGTTTATTCTGTAATTATTTTATCACAGATTTTTGGATTGTTAGGGCTTCCAAAATTATGTTTGAACTGAAGTGTTACCACTGGATGAACATCTGTTACTTTTTTCTGGAAGGAAAGGAACGTTGATATCAAATCAAAGGCACAAGTGGTTTTTAATGCAGGTATTTCAGTAACTGCTGCCTCAGATGCTTGTGTGAAAGTGAGATGTATGGGGGGTTTTTTGTAAGTTGTTTTTATTAGGTTTGGTATGGAAACATCTCATTATCAGTAAAATTGAAGATCTAGAGGAAGAATTGGTTCGGGCAGTAAACAGAAACTTCTGGCAGTGGGGTTTAGGAAGTAGAAACACCTGTCAGGACTTCATGTAGGGGAAAGACTTAAGTACAAATTAGTACAGTTAGAAAATGAAAAGCTTAAAATACTTGGAGTTAAGAAGTGGTATGTTACATGTGGTAACAGGCATCTGCATAACATACATCACATTT